CAGCCCTGCAGGTGTCCATGCCATCCCAACGAGCCGGGGACTTGCTTTCTCCGTTCTCCCCAGCTCTCCTGCACAGGCTGTTCCTGAATCAGTTCTTTGTTGGGAATTTAGGAAACGTGCCTCACTGCAGGGAGTGTGGTTGCCGTGTTAGAACCAGTCAAGATGAAGATCTCTTTCTGCTTTCCTCCTTTGGGGACTGGTTGGACATATCTGGTCCATGGTCGGAATGTTGAAGATTGCCCTCTCCAAACCCACTGGAATCCTCTCAATAGTCCCCCGGAGTCAGGTCTCAGGGTTAGGAGACGGACGTCTGTGTTCTTGCTGTTCGAGGTGAAGTTGATATGAATTTGGCTTAATGAAGAAAGCAGTTTCTGGAGAGCAGGGTTTGGAGGTCATACCCACAGTGCTCAGGGCTCACTCCCTACTCTGTGCCCAGTGCTCACCCCCATAACTGCACCCAGGGCTTGTTCCTGACTTTGCATTGAGGCTTATTCCTGACTCTGTGCTCGGGGCTCACTCCTGACTCTGCTCGGGGCTCACTCCTGGCTCTGTGCTTGGGGCTCATTTCTGTCTCTGCTCAGAGCTCACTCCTGGTTCTGTGCTCAGGGCTCACTCCTGACTCTGTGCTCGGGGCTCACTCCTGTCTCTGAGGTCAGGGCTCACTCCTTGCTCTGTGCTCAGGGCTCACTCCTGACTCTGTGCTCGGGGCTCACTCCTGTCTCTCCTCGGGGCTCACTCCTGACTCTGTGCTCGGGGCTCACTCCTGTCTCTGAGGTCAGGGCTCACTCCTTGCTCTGTGCTCAGGGCTCACTCCTGTCTCTGTGCTCAGGGCTCACTCCTGACTCTGTGCTCGGGGCTCACTCCTGACTCTGTGCTCAGGGCTCACTCCTGACTCTGTGCTCGGGGCTCACTCCTGACTCTGTACTCGGGGCTCATTCCTGACTCTGCTTGGGGCTCTCTCCTGGCTCTGTGCTCAGGGCTCACTCCTGACTCTGTGCTTGGGGCTCACTCCTGACTCTGTGCTTGGGGCTCACTCCTGATTCTGCTCAGAGCTCACTCCTGGCTCTGTGCTCAGGGCTTACTCCTGGGTCTGTGCTCAGGGCTCACTCCTGACTCTGTGCTTGGGGCTCACTCCTGATTCTGTGCTCGGGGCTCAGTTCTGACTCTGTGCTCGGGAATCACTCCTGTCTCTGTGATCAGGGCTCACTCCTAATTCTGTGCTCGGGGCTCACACCTGGCTCTATGCTCGGGGCTCACTCCTGACTCTGTGCTCAGGACTCACTCCTGACTCTGTGCTCGGGGCTCACTCCTGTCTCTACTCAGGGCTCACTTCTGACTCTGTGCTCGGGGCTCAGTCCTGACTCTGTGCTCAGGGCTCACTCCTGGCAGGGTTGAGGGGGTCACATGTGGAACTAGGAATGGAAGACCAATTGGTCACATGCCAGGTAAGTGTTCGACATGCTGTACTATTCTTCTGGCCCTGGATTAAACTCCATGCTATTTTCATTCTCCTTCTTCCCCACCTTTCTCAGTGGCCCCTCTGGCTTGGGGCAGGTGACAGCATCAGCAGGGGACCTCCAACCCTGGTGAAGGATTGGGCACTCTGATACTCTTCCTTGGGGTATTGGCTTTCTGGACAAGGACACACACCTCCGCACAGCCCGGAAGCATCCTGAGGAAGCACTTCCAGAAATCAGGCCCTGGAAGCTGCCCAAGCTCCCCCCCGCACCTCCTCCCCCGCAATCAGTTCTAGACCCCATTTCCCACCTGGAACCTGGATGTCTAGGGTAGCCCAGGGACTTGGCAACATCGTGGGAATCTGGGCAGTGCTGGCTCAAGCTCAAAGGGGTGGGAATCAGGGGTGGACCCCAGCCAGGACTTAACTGACAGTGAGTCTCGAAGTTGTCCTTCCTTCCCTAGACACCAGCTAAGGGACCCAGCGTTAGGTGGGTCGAGAGGTGGACGCTTGAACCACAGTGTCTGCTGTGAAAATCACATTAGATTAAAAATGTGAAAAATCACATAGAACAGTTTCAGTGTTTTTATCTCCCAGGGGGAAGGGGCGGCCCACATCAGACAGTATGTCCAGTACCAGGGCATGAACCTTGGCCAGCCACACCTGAAGGTTGCACTCAGCCTATGGGGCCATCCTCTGGGTCCCAACAGTTTCTCCTAACCTGTGTGATTCCTGAGCACAGAGCCAGGAGTAAACCCTGAGCAGAGCTGGGTATGGCTCAAGAACCACAACACACACACACACACACACACACACACACACACACACACACACACATCATGAGAAAGGTGAAGTCATACCTGATACTACAAAACACAGGGGGGGAGCCGGAGCGATAGTTCAGCAGGTAGGGAGTTTGTCTTGCATGCAGCTGACCCGAGTTCAATCCCCAGCATCCCTATGGTCCCCCAAGCACTGCCAGGAGTAATTCCTGAGTGCAGAGCCAGGAGAACCCCTGAGCACAGCTGGGTGTGACAAAAAAGAAAAAAAAGTTAGGAGGGATCATGGAGTGCACTGTGATACTCTCTACCACTGCGTGAGCAAATCGGAAACCTAAGAGGATGGGTAAGCGTCCAGCGTCCGTCTCAAAAACAGCAGAGCTCATTTGTTCACGTGACCACCTGGACCTGAGGCTAAAAGCCTCCTGGGATAGTTTTGGACTTCTCTTCCTAAACCTCCAGGCCTGTGCACCTGCCTGCCAGGGCCCCAGAGCCCAGAGCCCCACAGGATGGAGGTCCCCGAGGCAACAGACTTGTTCCTCCTTTATTTATTTTTGTTTTGTTTTGTTTTGTTTTTTTGGTGATGCTCAGGGGTTACCCCAGGCTCATGGACTCAGGAATTATTCCTGGTGGTGTTCAGGGGACCATATGGGATGCTGGGAATCAAACTCGGGTGGGCCGCGTGCAAGCAAACGCCCTACCCACTGTGCTATCACTCCAGCCCCCCTCCTTTGTTTTATGTCTGGTTTTGGTTCCTGCCTGGTGGAACTCAGTGGCTACTCCGGGAACATTGTTTAGGGTTCGCTCTTAGCAGTCAGGGGCACTGTGGGGTGCCAGGGAGGGAACCAGGCTTCTGCACATAAAATGTGCCCAGTCCAGTTAACTATCTTTCTGGTCCAAGCTGACCATTTTCATTATGTTTATTCTTCCACTTCACGAATGCTGCCATCTTTCCTTTTCTTTGTGTATTCTTCCATTTTATTTCATGCGTTCTTACAATTTGCAGTGCGAAGATCTTCCTCCTCCTTTCCTCATTTTCCTTTCTTCCGTCATTCAATTAGTTTCATCTAAAACACAAGCAGATTTATATTGCTGATTTTGTATCCTGATTCTGTAAACTTGTTATTCATTTCTAGTAGTAGTAGTTGTTGTTGTTGTTGTTGTTGTTAAGTCTTTGGAATTTTCTAGTCCATTATCTTGCCATGCAATATTTTCACCTTGCCTTTTCTAATTTGTATTCATTTAATGTCTTATCTTGCCTAATTGCTCTGTATAGGACTTCTAAACTTATGCAGCAAAGCAAGGATAAGTGCACATCCTTATCTCTTTCCATATTTCATGAGAAATGTGTTCAGCTTTTCATGATTGAGTTTTTTCATACTGATATCTATGGGTTTGTCATCTATGACCTTTTATTTTGTTGAAATATGTTCAATAGACTGGGAAGTATATTCCTAATATTTTAGTTCTTTTTTAAAAAACACAAATGAATGTTGAAACCATTTCAAATGTCAAATGTTTTTTCAATGCCTATGATCATGAGATTTTAAATCTTTGTGTGGATGTGATAAATGAACTAATTTACATATATTGAATCATCCTTGCATCTGTGAGATGAATCATATTTATGATCAATGATTTTCTTGAAGTTTTGCTGATTAGATTGGCCAGAGTTTTGTTAAGGATTTGTTTGGTGGCATCTATCATCACCATCATTTTTCTATTTTAGTTTAGTTCTTTTCTGAGTTATGGACAACCAGATTGGGTTAGATTGGGTTAACTGGGTTAATCTCAGTTAAATTCACCTGATAATGTGTTAGAGGCAGTACCCACCTATTCAATTAGAGGGTGGTTGAGAAGCCACCCTCTGAGGGCATTCTCTGAAGCTTGTATAGAATTCACTGGTGAGGTTATTTGTTTAGGCCTTTTGCTTTTAAGCAACTTTTAATTACCATTTTGATTTCTATAAGTGTTGCTAGCTTGGTTGTGGAAAGTTGTGTGAGTCTGATGCTTTATCCATTTGCCTAGGTTTGTTTGCTTAGTGGTAGAGGTGATCATAGAGCTCTCCATAATGTAGCCTCCTGTTTTTGTAGTATCTATCAATTATGACTTCACCATCCTCATTGTGTGTGTGTGTGTGTGCATACACGTATGTGTTGTGATTATTTTATGTGTATGTATGTGTTGTGTTGTGTTGTAATTCTTGAGCCACACCCAGGTCTGCTTAGGGCTTACTCTTGGCTCTGTGCTCAGGGATCATTCATAGCAGGGCTCAAAGGACCATAGGCAATGCTGGGGATCAAACTGGTGTCAGTCGCATGCAAGGCAATAACCATAACCTCTGCCCTATCCCTCCAGTCCCATTTCTGATTCTTTTTGTAGAACTTTCTTTCTGTTATTCTGGGGGAACCTAGTGAGGGGTTGTCAGAAGTATATAGCTATTCATTTATTACTTTCTGGTCTAATTTTTGGTTTGTTTGGGGGCTGTACATGAGCACCCAGAATGATCCCTAAGTATAGAACCAGGAGCATCGCTGAGTCTGGCCCCCAAACAAACAAATAAAAAATAAGTATGTTAGTGTTCGTTAGGCCCAGTCAGAGACAGAGAAAGGAAAGTTCAAGAAACCAATGAGGGTCAATAGTTCAAAGAGCCAGCATGCAAGCGTTGTGGGACCAGCGCCCAGAACAGAAATCCAAGGAGGGTCTGATTTTCAGACTTGAGCCTCTCCCCGCTGTCTCCTGATGCTTGATTCCACCCACAGACCATGGCTGTTCAGCCTGAGCTGCAGAATGCCCAGGCAAACCCCGGAACATACATCGAAGGGGGTCGCCAGCCCCCCATGTCGGAGAGAGGCAAGGAGTCCGACAAAAGTAAGTGTGGGGACACCTCCCCAGAGCTCCCGGGAGGGACCCCACAGAGGCCACCTGCCCTCATGGCCCCTGTCGCACGTTTGCCCAGATGACAGCGGGACCTGTGCCCCCAAGGGGGAGCTGCTGCCGTCCCACTCCACGGTGGCGCTCATCGAGGACACCGCCGACAACCCCTGGGACCTGCCCACACTGCAGGACACGGGGCTCAAGTGGTCAGGTATGAGGGGGACTGGGGCTGTGTTCTAATTCCCAGGGCTGGGGCTCCGTGTCACCCCCCGCCCCCCCCCCCCCCCCCCCCCGCCAGGAGACTCAGGCCCAGGCCCTGTGTGGGAACCCTGAGGTCTCTGGTTCTGCCTTTCATTCTTCGTTGTCTTCTGCCCCCCCTCCTTTAACCAGCTCTGGGGGACACAAGTGGGGACCCCTTTGTGCTGCCTGCTCCCCCATAGGGAGGCTGGAAGGCTGAGTAGAGGCGCAGTCTGAGAGCTCCTGGGATGGGCGGAGATGGGTCTCAGCAAGCCCAGGGAAGGCTCGGCTCGGAGTGAGTGGCTGTGGCCTGAGTACTTGGTCTGCAGGAGACCTGCCTAGATCCCCAGCATCGTCTGGTCCTCTAAGCAGGGCATGGGGGCAACATGGAACTGGGAGTAACCCCTGGGCACCACTGAGGTGAGGGTTGTCTGTGCATCCAGGCACAGGAGCCAGGAGCCCAAGGAGCCAGGCACCAGCACACCAGCAGGGGGACTCGGGTGGGACCCACCTGAGCGGGAAGTGGGGATCCAGCAGCCGAGGGTGCCCACCCCCAGGACCCGGAGGCCCGGGTGTGTGCTGAGGACAGTGGGTGGGGCCTTGGTGGGAGGCACACATGGGCCCTGGGGTGCTGGATGTTGCCGGGGCCTCTGAGCAGCGCCCAGGTCCCTGGGGTGCAGGGCTGCGTGTGCCCCCACAGTGGGCTCCCCTCTCCCTGCCCCACCTCAGCAGGAGTGCCACTGACCCCAGCCTTAGACGAACCCCACCTGGGCCCTGTGCTGGCAGTGGGGAGTGGTGGGGGCTGAAGTATCGCAGATGCTGAGTCTCCCTCCCTTCCTCCCTCCCTCCCTCCAGAGCGCAATGCCAGCGGGAAGCTGCTCTGTGTCCTCCAAGGCATTGGGAAGCTCGTCCTGCTGCTGGGATTCCTCTACTTGTTCGTGTGCTCCCTGGACGTCCTCAGCAGTGCCTTCCAGCTGCTGGGAGGTAGGAAGGAAAGGCCTGGGCTGGTGGGGGCGGGGAACGACGGTCACAGCTTACAGCTCATCAAGCCCCACCAGTGGCAGCCTTCTGGGATGCTTTAAGGTTGAAACCCCGTCCCCACATCACTGGGGAAGTCTATGGATCACTGGGGAGGATCACTGAGGAAGTCTTTCGGAGATGGTACACTTGGCCAGTGCTCAGGGCTTACTCCTGACTCTGTGCTGAGGGGTCAGTCCTGCTGGTTTTCTGGGAGACCAAATGGGGTGCCCAGGATTGAACCAGTTGTGCACAAGGCATGAGCCCTACACTGCTCTAGACCTGTACCTTTTTATTTATTTATTTATTTATTTATTTGCTTTTTGGGTCACACCCGGCGATGCACAGGGGTTCCTCCTGGCTCTGCACTCAGGAATTACTCCTGGCAGTGCTCAGGAAACCATATGAAGTGCTGGGAATCAAACCTGGGTCAGGTGCGTGCAAGGCAAACGCCCTATCGCTGTGCAACTGTTCCTGTACCCTGCACCTATTTTAGAGGAGAGAAAATGTAAACCCTTTAATATGGGTTTGAGTTGGCCAGAACGGCTTATTCCCAAGAAGGCTGGAGGGGGACTTCCTGTGGGAGGAATTGGGCAGAGGGAATGAGAGGCTGAGTTTTTGTGGGCAGGTGAGAGCTATGTCTGGATGGTACTATGTCAGCAGCAGGAGGAAGTATAAGAATATTCCATAGAACCCAGAGGGCAGGCGGGGCTCCCAGGCTGTCACTGGTCAGTCTTGCTATGACATGATCACTCCCCACTTACCTAGTCCCCACCCTATGACCCGGCTTTTTGTCTTTTTCAGGAAAGATGACCAAGAAGTTCCTCCATAACAACTCGATCGTGTCCAACCCTCTGGGAGGTCTGGGGATCGGGGTGCTGGTGACCGCCCTGATCCAGAGTTCCAGCACCTCCTCGTCCGTCATCATCAGCATGGTGGCCTCGTCATGTGAGTGCAGCTGCCCGGAGCCACCACATTCCAGGCCTTTCACACACCCTCAGGGAGCCGGGGATCGTGTCTGGTGAGGATGAATTCCGTCTCCACCTCAGGCTGAACATACACCCTGTGCATCTAGCTCTGCGCTTTCAGGAATGCTGCTCTCTTGTTAAGCAATGACTAGACACAGGTGTCTATTGTGTTTGATTGAAATGATTCTGCTTGAAAATACTAGATTTGGTTGTTGCAACTACATCAATGTGCCATCAATAATCAAAATAGACGAGAGGCCACTGTATTGAATAGTGCAGCTATTCAATGTGTGTCCATCGCTGCCCCGGGCGTCAGGAATAAAGATGCCATGTAAGCACATGACAGGTTGACTGTCGGGACAGCTGAACTTAAGGAGCTGATGTGCAAGTGTGAGGCTGTCCGATATTTGTTAGATTGGGAGGACCAGTTTGAAAGGGTCCATTTTCAGTCCAATCACATTTTAAGCAATAAACTAGAAACTTTTCTGGATCAAATTAGAAAAAAACATTACTTCCATTAAAAAAATTGACCTTCCTTCATCAGAACATTGTGGCTAAGTATTAATTTTCTAGGAAAGAAAATTGTATTGCCAGGATTTTGCCATTATAAATACTCAAGTCCTTAAATATAGTAGAGAGAGAGAGAGAGAGAGAGAGAGAGAGAGAGAGAGAGAGAGAGGGAGGGAGAGAGAGGGAGAGAGAGAGGAATTATAATGACATTTTAAAGGGTCTTGCACAGTCTGTGGATTCCCTGGAATTGCGTGATGGGACTGTGGGAGGTCCCTGGGCACAGTTCCATGGGCATCAGCCCACATGCCCATCAGCCCACATGCTCATCAGAGCCCAGTGGGGTTCAGCCACCCCGAGATGAGCAAGTGCTGCAAGAGAGGGAGACCTTCCTGCATGGGGCCACCAGCCAGGCTGCTCCCTCCTAACCTAATGCAGTCCCTGCCCTCCACCCTCAGTGCTGACCGTGCGGGCCGCCATCCCCATCGTCATGGGGGCCAACATTGGCGCCTCCATCACCAACACCATCGTGGCGCTCATGCAGGCCGGGGACCGCAATGAGTTCAGAAGGTAAGAGGCGCCGAACCCACCCAGGTCGGCCTAATTCCTTGGGTCAGTATGCTTTTTTGCTTTTTTTCCCCCGTTTGTTGGTTTGGTTTTTGGATCACACCCAGTGGTGCTCAGGGTTTACCCCTGGCTCTTCACTTAGGAATCACTCCTGGCAAGCTCAGGGGACCATATGGGATGCCTGGGATCAGATCAAACCTGGGTCAGTCGAGTGCAAGGCAAACGTCCTCCCTGCTGTGCTGTTGCTCCACCTCCCCCCCTCCCCCACACACATCCTCTGCCCTGTCCCAGCTCCTTGGATTTGGCCAGATTATGGGCTCCCTCTTCCCCTAGCCAGTGGGCTCTCACCAAGCCCTGCTGGAGCTCCCGAAAGGAGCCAGGGGGGAAGGAAGGCTGGAGATTCAACCCAGGCCCCATCTGCAGAGCTGGAATCCTGGGGCAACTGAAAGCTGCATTAACACCGCCAGGTAAGAGTTCAGAGAGCTGCCAGGAGCCAAGCTGGGCTCCCTCAGAACAGCACCAGTTGGAGGCTGACCTGAAGGGGATGAGGCTCCAACAAGGCCACTCAGTACAGGGGGTTCTGCCCCACGGAGAGTAGTGACAGCATCCACAGCCCCCACTGGGCCGCCCCACACAGTCCTCTGCCCCCGTCCTCACCCACATGCCCACAGAAGGTGAACCGTGCACCCTCACGGCTGTGGGGTCTGAGAATGGGGTGGTTGTAGAGAGGGAATCTTTTCCCCTCCAAGTGCTTGAAGTGAATAGCCAGCACCTCTCCCAGCCTCTCTTCTAACTCTCCTGGGCTTTCTCAGATTTGATTGAAGTATAACCAGTGTCCAGCCTCCCTGTGCCTCTGGGCTTGGTCCGCAGGCGTTATTCATAGCCAAGGGTCCAGGGGACATCAACTTCCTTCATTGGTGACTGGCAGCAGCAGAGGCCCTCATATCCTCTGACTGATGAGTCACCTTCACATCTCGTTTCAGCGGGCTATGTCTATAATAGTGCCTGTGATGGGGCCGGGCAGAGGTCAAAAGAGATAGTGCACAGATTTTTCAATGAAGGAGGCCCAGTTTGATCCCAGGCACCTCATGGTCTCTCCAGCACTGCCAGGGGTGACCCCCACACAAAAATCATGTTATAGGCATTTTACTTTGACGGATCTTCCCAGGAAACTGAGAAGAGGGGCCGAAGAGGTGGCGCAATGGACTGAGGTCATCCTCGGCAGGCAAAGCCTCATGGTTGATCCCAGGATCGCCCTGTCAACACAGGGAATGACACCCAAGCACTGAGCTGGCAGTAGTCCCTGAACACCCTCAGATTTTCCCCAGAACATAAATACCCAAGAAATTCAATGGATTTTTTTTTTCCTATTTTGATTCTTGTGCCACCATGGCTCTCCTCGGAGGCTTTGTATGAGGGACCATGAGGTTCTAGGGATCCGAGACCTCCTGCAGGCAAAATCACATGCTCTAGGGGCCAGAGAGGTAGGGCAGCAGGTAGGGTGCTTGCTTTGCCCACAGCCAACCCAGGGTTCAATCCCTGGCATCCCATAGGGTCCCCTGACCACTGCCAGGAAATGACTCCTGAATGTAGAGCCAGGAGTAACTCCTGAGAATCCCCACCTGTGGCCCCCAAACAAACAAACAAATAAAACAAACAAACAACCCCCGCCCCAAAAAAGTATCTCACATGTTATAGCCCATTGCCCTATCTGCTGGGCTCCTAAATAGATTTTTCTGTGCTTCATTTCACTCCTGTAAAAATGCAAAGCTCTTCAGTAGCACTGCTGAGTGTCTCAACAGGGAGTCCATCCAGGCTTCCCGATTTCAGACTGTGGTTTCTTTTCCCTCTTATGCTAATGTTTGCCCCTGGATAATCTCTGAAACACAAACATAACAATCAATTAAGGTTCCTGCATGTTGGGACATTACTGATGTAGCTCACATTCTATTAGAATATTGAAACAAACTGCTTTCAGGGCTGGCTTTGGTTACAATTAGTTGGGATTACATCTTTATTGATTCCCAGAACCATTACCATATCAGACATCTCTAAGACTCTTCAAACATTTTACCAAACTGAAGAAATATTTGCAATCACTTGTATAAAACTACCTAAATCACCATATCTAGGGAAAATGAGATATTTAAAAAAATAGGTAACAGGAAAGGTAAAAATTTGTACTTACAAATAGGGATTGCAAATTAAACTCTCTTACTATTAGCATGATTAAAACATTTTCCCTTAGATATTTATTAGTTTCCATTTGTTCGTGCTCTTGTCCTATTTTGATTGGAAATTTTTTTATATACACTTTTGTTTTGGCTTTCTCCTTTTTCTCTTTATTTTTGATTTTAGGGCCACACCCAGTGATGGTTGGGGAGTTATTATTGTTATTATTATTAATATTTATCAAATCACCATGAGATACACAGTTACAAAGTTGTTCATGATTGAGTTTCAGTCATACAATGTTCTGACTCCCATCCCTTCACCAGTGTACATTTCCCACTGCCCATCAACAACACCCACTCAGGAGATTGTCCTAAGAATCACCCTTTGTTGGGCCAAAGGTACAATGTAGAGGTTAAGGAACTTGCCTGGCCTGTGGCCACTTCAGTTCTATCTCTAGCATCACAATATGATCCCTGAGCATTGTCAGGGGTTACTCCTAAGCACAAAGATAGAAATTAACCCTGAGTACCACCAGGTGTGGTCCAAGACCCCATCTTTAGCTTGGACATGGGAGTGGCACATATGCCGGTCCTCACAGTGGTGACACTGGGCAGTGGATACAGTAATGTGCCACTGGGGCCTGTGCCCTCTGGCCCATTGACTCACCTGGATGTTGGGCTGGGCTGGGCTCCCCGCTCTAGGGCTTTTGCAGGGGCCACCCTTGATGACTTCTTCAGCTGCCTCACTGTGCTGGTGCTCCTGCCCCTGGAGGTCACCACCCATTCCCTGGAGATGCTGGCCCACCTGGTGCTCAATACCTTCCCCTTCAGGATTGGAAGAGATACCCCAAGTCTCCTGAAAGTCATCACAGAGCCCTTCACGAAGCTCATCATCCAGGTAGCCCGGCTCGATTCAGAGCAGGAAGCCTCCTCATACCCTTGCTTGCCCTGTTCCCCTACTTGGTGGACCAAAAATAATAGAGGGGAAGACCCCCTGGGAACTACTCACTGGATCTCTCTGAAAAAGGCCCAGAGACAGAACTTGTAGGGATATCTGACAGAGTAGATGACTTTAGTTTGTTTCTTCTTTTTTTTTGACTTTTTTAGGTCACACCCAGAGATGCTCAGGGGATACTCTTGGCTCTGGGGATACTAAGGAGCTACTCCTGACAGTGCTCAGGGGACCATATGGGATGCCGGGGATCGAACCCTGGTCAGCCCTGCTCACTGTACTATCACTACAGCCCCTAAGTAGAAGACTTTTGTTTTTGTTTTCTTGACTTCAACACATGCCATCTTTATTGGGAGAGGGAACAGTACATGGCAGTGCTTCCAAGGACTCCACGGTGAACCTGGGGCAACTTTGTTCCCACTGGTCACTGACAAGGATGATCTCACTCCTACCCAGAGTAGATGGGAGCTTCCCTCTCCTTTTAAGGGTCCTCTGAAGCCACTGGTCACCAGCATCTATTCTCACTGGGACCAGTGAATGCTGGGGAGATAGCTTAACAGACTGGAACACATGCTGGAGGCAAGAGCCCTAACCACTGCACTACCACTGAGCTTGGAGCACGGGTTGGGCATGCAGGAGACACAGGTTTGGTCCCTAGCACTGCATTGTCTCCAAGCACTGCAGGAGTGACTGAGTCGAGAGTAGCCCTTGAACACTATTGGGTATGGCCCACACAACCAAAAAGACATTGATTGGGCTGAGGAGAGAATACTGGATGAAAGGTGTGTGTATTGCACGTGACCAACTCGGGTTCAGTCCCCAGCACCACAGGTGATCCCCAAACAACACCAGTGTCACTCCTAAGAACTGGGCCAGGAATAGATGCTAAGCATGCTTGAGCATGGCCTACCTAAATTCCTCCAAATTAATTAACCTTATTTAATCAATGAAAAAAGATTTGGTAAGGGCTGGAGCTATAGTACGATGGGTAGAGTGTTTGCCTTGGACACAGTCGACCTGGGTTCAATCCTCGGCATCCCATATGGTCCTCTGAGCACTACCAGGAGTAATTCCTGAGTGCAGAGCCAGGAGTAATCCCTGAGCACCACCAGGTGTGACCTGAAAAGCAAAAACAAGAAAGCAAACAAAAATATTTGGTGAGTTTTGGCATGGGAGAAGGAAATCCTGGTACTGGACAACCTGGTTTTCTCTGTTGTAAAGTGGTCCATGGAAGCTGCACCACATACGCTCTTATGTATTGGATTTTGTTCATACAATAATTTGTTTATGGGGGACTGGAGTGACAGCACATCACCAGGTGTGACCCAAAAAGCAAAAACAAAAAAAAAATTTGTTTATTTGTCAAGTCCTTGCTAAAGGGTAGGAGGCATGATCCACCCTGGAAGTGCAGCTGGAGGGGCCTGGCTCATTGCCAGGGGAGTTCAAAGTCAGGTTCATAATCTCAGTGTCTGAACCAGCAGCTCTCCCTCATCAGCCCTGCACCTCTCCTGTTTTCCTCTTTCAGCTGGATAAAAACGTTGTCAACAAATTGGCATTGGATGATGATGAAGAAACCCCAAACAAGAGTCTCATCAAGATTTGGTGCAAAACAATTATCAACACGGTACATTTGTAAGAATATTGCTGGAGAAGGGAACATTTGTATCTGTACTCTAGGCAAATCTTCAGAGAGAAGGGGTGAGGAAAGAAAAGGGGGAATAGCTAAAAATACAAATACAAGGAAGAGCCTTAAGGTGTATTCTTGCATGTTGAATGCGAGGAAATGCATGGGACACAGAGAAGAGTAGAACGTACTAAAGTTCTGAGTGTCATTGCTGCCTTTTCATTATTGGTTGGTCTCGTGGCATAACTTTGGCTGCTTCTCTGCATTGTTGGAGGTATCAGGTGTATAGATACAGTGTGGGCATCTCTCTCTGCCCCACACGGTGCCCAGTGCTCTCATCGAGACTGAGGACTGGTATGTCCTATCTCTCATGTACACTCTAGACCCAGATGAATGTCACTGTGCCCTCACCTAAGAACTGCACCTCCCCTGACCTCTGTTGGACTGATGGTTCTCGTACCTGGACCCTTCAGAATGTGGACTACCAGGAGAACATCGAAAAATGTGAGTGGAACTGAACATCAGTCACTGGGAAACGTCTCTGGTGTGTCTGCTTTTTCTCCTTTTCAGCCCTGCACCTTCATTAGCTCTGAGCAAAAGACCTTCAGGGTCCTGGTATAGTAACCACTCAGAATCCAGAGAACTCACCATTCCTGTAGCCCAGTGACAGATCCAGTGGCACAGCCACGAGTTGATGGAGTCTGGTGGGGACGCCCAGGTGTTTGGAAGACGAGGAGTTTCAGAATGAGCAACACTCTTCTCTGACTTGGTCACCATTCTCCGCTTTGTCCCCAAGACCCTTTGTTGTCATTATCCTCAAGGCCATGAGTGAGGCACAGCACAGGCTTCAGAGGCAGGTCAGCTGGGCGGGAGGCCTGGCTCTGCCCCTGCCTAGCCTGTGACTTCTTCAGGGATTTCACTTCATCTCCAGCCTCTGGGGCTGCCCCAGAGAACAGCCTCGGGGCTGCCTTCATATTCAAGGGAGTCTGGGATGCGGCCTGTCTTCTGGGTAGCCGCGGGTCTAGCTCATAAGCAGGATTTACTACAAGGGAGCACCAATTACCCAACGGTGTTGGGGATAAGTAACTATATGGCCTTGGGTTGCTCTTTGTCCCCTAACAAGGCCTCTCGTGATCTCCTCAGGTCAGCACATCTTTGTGAATTTCAACCTCCCGGATCTGGCTGTGGGCATCATCTTGGTGATTGTCTCCCTGCTGGTCCTCTGTGGCTGCCTCATCATGATTGTCAAGCTCCTGGGCTCCGTGCTCAAGGGGCAGGTGGCTGTTGTTATCAAGAAGACCCTCAACACTGGTAGGTGCGGTGTCACCTGTGTCATTGCATCATCTACTGAATTACTATGGAAGAGCCAGGTAGAGGCTCAGAGGAATCTTATATCCAGTAGTTTTGCAGACTGGAGGAACAGTATGAAGGTGTCACTCGGGTTGGGTGCATTTGCAAACCTGCTTCCTGGTTTACAGATGCCCACAGCAGAGAGAAAGCAAACGTTCTCTTGTATTATCAGGACACTAATGCATTTACGAGGGTCCTGCTGCATGACCTAATTACCCAAAGGCCCAAGTCCTCCAATTATCACACCAGGAGGATTTCAGTGTAGGAAATTTGAAAGAAAACAAATTTTCAGTTTGTAAAAAGTGGGCTTAATATGCTTAGTTTCTGACAGTTAGTGAATATGTAGTTTTGTCTTTACATCACCTGGCCCTTGGTTCTGTCATCTCAATATGGAAGGTACTGTGATTTTAAATATTCTGAAGGGCTGGGAGATTGGATAGGCATAAGAGCATATACCTAGCATGTACTGAACCTCAGTTTAACCCTGGTTCAAGCCCTGCTACAATGCCCCACTTCACCCCAAGACTTGCTGGGTATAGCCTTGGAATTCCTGACCCTCGAGCACCTCCAGGTACGGTTCTGGTGTTCTTAGCGCCAGAGTCAGAGCAGCAACACCTCCTCAGGACTTCACATTGGCCCAGTTTCCTGAGAATCACCGGGAAAGGATGTTGGGGGTCCTTGAGCATGCCTTGGGTGTTCAAAAAAAAAAGGCTAATTTTCAGTTGCAGAGTATGGTGTGGGGTGGGTCACACCTACCCCACTCAGGCTGTGCCTCCTCGGTCCTTACAGGTGCCATCTGGGCTCTATCCCACACTTTCTCTTGTCTTCTGTCCTTCAGATTTGCCCTTTCCCTTTGGCTGGCTGACTGGCTACCTGGCCATCCTTGTGGGGGCGGGTATGACCTTCATTGTGCAGAGCAGCTTCGTGTTCACATCTGCCATAAACCCACTGATTGGTAAGTGTCCCTTTGGCCACCACTGCAGTCCCCATCATTCCCTGCCATTGGTGCTCTGGATTCTGTATTTCTCCCTCCCCCAGGACTCGGTGTGATCTCCATTGAGAGGGCATATCCACTCACCCTGGGCTCCAGCATCTCCGCCACCACCACGGCCATCTTGGCTGCCCTGGCCAGCCCAGGCAACACTCTGAGGAGCTCGCTCCAGGTAAGAGGGTGCCGCGTGGGGAGGGGTCTGTGGGAGCAGGGAATACAGTCCATCAGTGGTCATATAGGTAGATAGTGTCAGACAAGAGATACATTCTCTCTGGCACGTCCAAAGCTGATATGAAGGGATGCAGGTTTGAGAACAGCCAGCACCTTCTTGTTAGACAAGTAGATAGGGTCTCAGTTGCAGGGATGTCAGCACAGGCAAGGTAGCACTTGATGGAGAAATAATGCATTTCCAGGAACGATAGACGCCACTTTCTGTCTCCTCATATCACTCTTAGGGGACGTTGGATGGATCTGGGAAGGCCATTTGTCAGTATTGCAGGAAGAACCAGAGGGTCCTTCCTTGCGTAAAACAGTTAAGTGTGCTCCAGCAAGAGGGACCTTGGTCTTGTATCTTATGCCACCGTTTCCATGCATTGTGCCTTAACCTTTGAGAAACAGTTTCCTCTGTTGACAAATAAGACTCACAATCCCTACTTCATAAGGAATATTATAAAGATCTCATGAGGACATCTAAAGTTTGATTCTTCAAAGAGCTACAGTATGTGAAAAGAGTATAAATAGGAGTGACAAATGTATCATAAGTTTTCTAATAGTCACATATTAAAATGTGGAAAGAGGGGCCAGAGTGATAGTGCAGTGCGAAGGTCTCGCCTTACATGGGGCAGACCTGAATTCTTTTCTTTCTTTCTTTTTTTTTTTTGCTTTTTGGGTCACACCCAGCAATGCACAGGGGTTACTCCTGGTTCATACACTCAGGAATTACTCCTGGCAGTGCTGGGGGGACCATATGGGATGCTGGGAATCGAACCTGGGTCGGGCCACGTGCAAGGCAAACGCCCTACCTGCTGTGCTATCACTCCAGCCCCCCAGACCTGAGTTCCATCCCCACATCCCCAACATCCTCTAGGGTCACCTGAGCACCACTAGGCATAAGCCCTGAGCACAGAGCCAGGAATAAGCCCTGAGCACTGTTGCATGTGGCCCCCAAATAACAACAATAAAAACAACAACAATAATAAGTTGAAAGAAACAGATATCTTCCATCCTTCCACTGGTAATGTCTGTGTTATTATAGCTTATAACTGATATTAAAATGATATGGTATTTCACAACCTTTTTTTGACTGTCTTTGAAACTCCGAGCACATTTTGCACTTACCTCTCAATACAGAGCCCTGAGCCTCCTGGTCGACCAGCAGTCCGTCGTGGACACAGGTCTCACGTTCCAGTGCCTATTTCCAGTTCTCAGCTGGTGCAGGGGACTGGCTGCTAAGGAATTAGATAGGATGCACCAACTTCCTATCATGATCTCTGGTACATGGCAGGCACACAGAGAAAAACGGTGAAGTGTGCGACCTCTAAAGGCAAGCAACTGAAACCCAGCTGCAGCAGGTCCTATCAATATGACTTCCAGAAAACATCCCTTAACCTGCTGTTCCAATTTCCTTTCACATCAAATGGCGACGATAGGGGTGGGCATTTCGTAGGATATTTTTGGTTGATTGGAGTAGCCCAAAGAAAGTATGTAGGGTAGTTTTAACCTTCAAACAGACACTATCCTCTTGTGGTTCATCAATTTGCTTGCGTGGGCCCAGTAACATCTCCATTTTGAGACTTGTTGTTACTGTGTTTGGCATATTGAATCCATCACGGGTAGCTTGCCAGGCATTGCTGTGTGGGCAAGATACTCTCAGTAGCTTGCCGGACTCTCCAAGAGGGGCGAAGAAATCAAACCTGGCTCAGCCGGGCTGGCTGCGCTCAAGGCAAATGCCCTTCCGCTGTGCTATCGCTCCAACACCAGTTTTTACCTTACAAATTAAAATTATACAATCTGGGGTGGACTCTTTGTTTTTGTTTAACATTGGGGATGCTCTTCCTGGCTCTCCCACCTCCCTAGAAATGGGCCCATGAGTCAGCAGCCACACTGTGCGCGCCTTTCTTCTGCCCACCAGCTCTTACCTGCTCCTACCTGCTGGGAGTAAGCGGCACTAGGATCCTGGGCTGCTCAGGCACATTCATGAAGTTCATGTGTGAAATTGTGTCTTTCCAGAGAATATCAGGCCCTGGAGATGGGGATGTAATAAAGCTAATGCTGGCCCTAGGGACATAGTGGGTCCTCTGGGCTGGACTGGGCTGAAAGGAGGACAGTGATGCTGCGACAGGTATACCTTGTGGGTGACCTCCTTGTACCCCCACAGCCCCACTCACCCTTCCCCCTCTGTGTTGTGTTGCAGATTGCCCTGTGCCACTTTTTCTTCAACATCTCTGGCCTCTTGCTGTGGTACCCCATCCCCTTCACCCGCCTGCCCATCCACCTGGCCAAGGGGCTGGGCAACATCTCCGCCCAGTACCGCTGGTTTGCTGTCGTCTACATCATCGTCTTCTTCTTCCTGACTCCGCTGGCCGTGTTTGGGCTCTCGCTGGCAGGCTGGCAGGTGCTGGTGGCCGTGGGGGTGCCCATCATCTTTGTGATTGTGCTGGCCGTGTTCATCGGGCTCCTGCAGTCCCGCTGCCCGGGGCTCCTGCCCAAGAAGCTCCAGAACTGGGACTTTCTACCCCTGTGGCTGCACTCGCTGAAGCCCTGGGATGAGGTGGTCTCCAGGCTCATCAGCTGCTTCCAGAAACGTGGCGACAGGCGTGGCAGGAATCTGGAGGAGGTGCAGAAAGAGCCCATGAGAGCCCTAGAGGCCTTTGATGACTTTTCCGTAGACCAAGGGGCCCGAGCCAGGTTCTCCACTTTCCACATGGATGCCCAGAACACGAGTGTTGTTGTGTTCTTGTAGGGGCTGCCTTGGTCACTAGGGACAGTATCCATGTTCCTCTTCTGCCCGTCTCTCCCCTTAACAGGGATTTGTTCCCCACTGAGAAGCGGGGCTGACATCAGCCCTGACTCACCCTTAGCTTAGACAATCATCCTGCCTGGTGCTTTGACGGCATCCCCCCACACAGGGTAGTGCAGAGTCACCCGGGAGAGGATTCAACAGGGACAATGACCGGAGGGATGGTCACACCCACCGGCAGGCAACTGAAATGGCCAATGGGACCTAGGTTCAGTTTCAGGCTACTATTTTTCTGAAAAAAAAAAAAAAAAAAAAAGGCCTCAAGGCAGGGTTTGTCAAACTTTCTCAAAGGTACATGTTTATATGTACGTATGTATCCAGACACATGTACTTTTCTTTGTTGTGATCAAACTGACGTTTCTTTCTCCAAAGACTCACTTCACCCAGAATAGCTGCTCCGAGGGGTCCTGGATCCAGCCCAGCCCAGATCAAGGGGAATTGTGTGACCTGTTGGGAGACTTGGAGAAGGCCCTTTCTGCCTCTCAGTGCTCCCCAAATCCCTTGGGAGGGCTCCCCACCTAGGCAGCTATAGCTAGTTCAATCAGTTCACCTACCAAGTTCTTGCTTACAGAATGAGCTCAAAGTTCAGGTCAGGATATGTTTGGTCTCATCTGTGGCCGTGTGTCCCTACGAATAGTCGTCCTGTTCTGGGGCAGGGTAGGAGGATGAGAGCGAGGCAATGGAAACCTTGTCAGATGGTTCGTGTGCTAAAGGGACCAGGGTTCTTCTTCGCGTGGACACTAGAAGCTAAATGGACATTTGTGACAAAGCCTAGGCTTGCACTCCACCTCATCCCTGTTGAGTTGAGTGGGATAAGATGCAGACTCTCTGACTTTCTTATGTTTCCGTCACCTGGAATCCCAGGAGCATCTGAACACGGAACAGGTTTACATTCTCTCTGTGCCAGACGACCATCTTATTGAGATTTGGAAGTTAGCTTCCAGATGTAGATATGCTTACTGACCTTTCCACCCAACCATCTGCCACATATCCGGCCCTCCTGCCTTCCACCTCCCCTTCCTTCCATCCATCACTCTATCCATCCTTCCCTTCTATCTATCCCATCCATTCCTCTCTCTTTCCAGCCACCATTATTTTATCCATTCATCTATTCACCCCTGCCCCTCTTAGATCTATCCTATCCATCTATTCATCCACAATCATCATCCCATTCGTCCGCTCATCCATTTATTGATCCTGTTAAGCCTGAATCTCTTTCTAAACTTACTTCCACATCCCCCTGCATGAATAGACTATGGTTTACTCTTCTCAGTACGTTTACTAAGCTCCAGGTAGTAGAAACTAAGGTAGGACTGAGTGTCAGTGTTGTGACCTTTATATCACAGACATCACAGTAGATTTCTTGTGTACCTGTGGCCCTTGTTGGTGTGCCATTTTTGTTGTTATTGCCCCAAATGCCTTCTCTACAACTTCGAGAGGCCCTGGTTGTGTTGGTATCTCCTTACTCCACTGTCCCTCACCTTCAACAACCTTTCCCTGGTGAGCAAGTAAGTCTCAGCCTCATCTGAGAGGGGAATCTGTGATCACTACTCACTTACCCATTACCTTTACTTGGTGGGAATTCTGAACTGAGTCCCCAAACCCACTTCCCAATATGTAGATGCTGATTTCCAAGCAGAACAATTTGTACCTTATGGTTATAGTCATGCAAGCGTCCCACGTTTCATATAGTGACTTATTTTTATATAAATTATTTAGTAAATGTTAATGTTATAGTGTATTGTAGTGGAAAGGAGGCCAGGTTCTAATACACATTCAAGCAGGCCTTTGTGTATTTGTAATTCTGCCTTTGAAGCATGCCCTGTGGTATAGGACACACTGTACACATGTAAGGAGCTGGGTGTGCGCACGCTTCTTTGCACTCTAATATTTAAAAAAATAAAACAGATTTCTGTGCTGTGTTCATTGTTTTTATCTTATTTTCCTGGTTGAGGGGAGGGAGTTTCCACGTAGAAAACCAGGAATCTTTAAAAAGGCAGAACGGGCTTCCTTGACACCAAAAATTTGCAGCTCCAAGGGAGTCAGAGTGATAGCACAGTGGGTAGGGCACTTTCCTCACATGGTGACTGATGCTGGTTCCTCCCCCAGCACCCCATATGGACCCCTGGCCTGCCAGGAGTGAGCCCTGAGCACAGACCCAGGAGTGAGCCTTGAGCACAGACCCAGGAGTGAGCCCCGAGCACAGAGTCAGGAGTGAGTCCTGAGCACAGACCCAGGAGTGAGCCCCGAGCACAGAGTCAGGAGTGAGTCCTGAGCACAGAGCCAGGAGTGAGCCCTGAGCACAGAACCTTGAGTGAGCCCTAAACGTTGCTAGGCATGGCCCAAAAACAAACAAAAAAGAAGGAGATTACAGGTTCAAACCCCAAATTTTTGTCTGGTTTTTGGTTTGGTTTGCTGGCTCATGCAGGTGTGTCCTGAGCAGAAGCCCCTCTTGTCCCCTACAATGACATATTTGTGGGGTGAAAGTGAGGGTTTTTTTTTCTTCATTTTATTTTCTTACAAATAAGAAATCACTGAAGCATCATGGTAAAAAGTAAAATTTGAGGCTGGAGAAATAGCTCAGTGGACTGGGTGCAGGCTTTGCATGCAGGAACTCCAGGTTTGATTCCCAGCATTCATCTAGGGGGGGGACCCCAAGCTCAGAGCCAGAAGTAGCCTCAAGCACCACTGGATTGATCTCCCCCCAAAAATTATAACTAGGATAAAAAATATAAACGTCTTCTTCATTCATAAATATAATGGTGATGTATACTCAAATATCTATTCATCTTTATAAATATTTTTATCACCTAAAAATGTTTTGTTTTTGTTATTGGGTCACACCTGGCAATGCTCAGGAGTTACTCCTGGCTCTGCACTGAGGAATTACTCCTGATGGTGCTCAGGGTATGGGATGGGATGCCAGGGATCGAACCCAGGTCAGCTGCATGCAAGGTAGACAGCCCTACTTGCTGTGCTATTGCTCCAGCACCTATCACCTGAAAGTTATCACAAGAAAGCTGTTAGTTTTATTGTTTTAGAAATGAGATCAAAAAATAAAGGAAGGTATGTGGAAGGGAGAAAAAAGAGGGAAAGAGAGAGGGAAAAGGGAGAAGAAGAGGGGAAAAGAGGGGAGAGAGAGAGAAGGGGGGGCTGACAAGCTGTGTTTAGAAAGGGATCTTAATTTTGATTTTGTGAAACATTTCTAATTTTATTATTTATTCTGGGGTTTGGGGTTACACAAAATAGGGGGAGTTGCTCCCAGCTCATTGCCTAGGCGGAGCTGGGTTGTCCTGCTTTAGGGCCTGCGTCCTGCCCCGCACTGCCTCTTGGGACAGTGACTATTGTGAATCGACAGATGCTGTGCCCAGCTGGAGGACTCTGGGCTCTGTCTCAATGTCGGAGGAGTGAGTGAGTGAGGCCCTTTCTGGTGACTTCTTTCCTTTTTGGTCTGAGAGGTGGGGGTTTTGGACCACACCCAGAGTGATCAGGTCTCACTCCTCAGGTCTGTGCTCAGAGACCACTTCTGATGGTGCTCAGGGCCCATTCAAGGTCCCGGGATCTAACTGGGGGGTCAGCCACACGCCAGTGTGTTAACCTGTTGGCTCTCTCTTTGGCTGACCTCACTTTTTATTTATTTATTTATTTATTTATTTATTTATTATTATTTTTATTATTATTATTATTTTGCTTTTTGCATCACACCTGGTGACACTCCTGACTCTGCACTCAGGAATTACTCCTGGCGGTGCTCAGGGGACCATATGAGATTCTGGGAATCGAACCTGGGTCAGCCGCCTGCAAGGCAAATGCCCTGCCCGCTGTGCTATCACTCCAGACCCAACCTCACTTTTTAACTTCTTTATTTATTTTTGTTTTGGGTGGCCACACCTGGTAGTGGTGCTTAGGGGTTCATGCAGCCCCGGGGATCAAATCCAGGACCTGTATAAGCAAAAACATGTCTCCACGCGCCAGCTCCTTAACCACTCCTCTGCTTCTTTTTTTTTTTTTTTCCTTTTAAGTTCAGGGAGCAAAATTGAACAGTCCCCATGTAACTGAGAAACTGGCCTTACTGGGCCTTTTCCCGTTCAATCAACTTCCTCTTCCGCTGGCCTCCCGGGACTGCCACTCACTCCTGGGACTCCCGAGGAAGCTCTGTGGCTGTCAGCTTGGCTTTGATCTGAGCTATGAGCTCTGGGCCCGGAAAGGGAAGAGGGCTACAGGCTCCTGCAAGAGCGGGAGGTAGCTCTCTGGGCTGCAGCTCATGCTTGGGTTTCCCGAGTGACACAGAGCACTGAGCCAGGAGTAGACCCCAGCCACCACCAGGCGTGGCCCCCACACTAATAAATACTTACCTGTCCCCTGATCCCTCCCGCTCCCGCCCTCCAGCCTGCCACTCTTGTCTAGACTCAGGGGTCTCCCTGGCGTTTCTGAGCCCACCCAGCCCCTCTGACTCAGATTCTGAGCCTCAGAGCTCTCACCTGTGTGGTGGGAAGGGGGCAAGGGACCCAAGAGATGGAGAGTTAAAGGCAAGGCCTGCAGCATCATATGCCAATGCTCAGCAATGCTGTCTTTCTTTTCTAAACTGTAAGCAAAGAAAATGACAGCCCAGAACATGGGAAGAAGGAGAAGCTAGTGACGCCGTCTGCAGCCCTCGGTTCCTCCAAGGCTCGGGGGGCAAGGCAGAAGGCTGCAGCTCCAGAAGCTCCCACAAGCACATTCTAGACATGCTCACGAGCACAGACACACACACTTACACACACACACTCATTCGCACACACACACTCACATACACACACGCACACACAGACACAATCACACACACTCACTCACACATACACTCACACAGACACACTCACACACACTTACACTCACACACACAGACACACATACTTACACACAGTCACACACACACACACACACACACACACACACACACACAC